TTTTTCTTTTTTTTTTTTTTTTTTTTTTTTTTTTTTTCAAAGGGGGGCATTTCCACGTTGGGTGCTGACCTGGCATCCAGACAGAATGCTTGAATGTTTTGACACGTGGAATTTGGTTTGCTTAAGGAGTACGAAGTTTGCGTTACCTTGCTGATCTTGCTTTGTCATTTCTCTATTCTGAAATTTCATCTCTCCAAGCTTAATAATAATTGATGCTTTTTAAATTATTGATTCTATTTTTTTAATTTTCGCTTCTAAACCACGAAATTTTATATTTATTATATTCCATTTTAAATAATTGCTATAAATACTATATTTATTATAATTCAACAACATTTTGATGAAAATTATATTAATTAAATATTTGTTATAAAAAGAGATGAAAGTGTAAAAGAAGCCAAGGATTTTGAATGCATTGAAATTATAAGAGAAAATAGAAAATTTAAAATAATAATTCATTGGAAAAGGAGGAGGAATCATATCAAGCCACGTGTACTAGTGTGGGACCCTCGGAGAATAGTCGGGTTTAGATGGAGCTTCCCCCTCCACAGTCCACCGCCACCCACCCACCAAACTGGTGATGGTGTGGGCGGTGGCTCGGTGGGCCGTGGTGGTGGGGAACGGTGTCGTTTCGTTGAGTTTGAACTTTGAATAGAATTCTAGGGCGGTGGAAGGGCGTAAGAAAGAGAAAGTAGGGTTGGACGTTTTGCGGCAATAACTCGTGTTTCCAAAATTAATAATAAATAAATTTTAAATAAAATTAAAACCAGTTTAATATCGCTTTCATTTTCTTATTTTTTTTAATTTTAGTTCATTTTCTCGCCCTTTTTCGTACCATAATTTTAGTCTTTCTTATAAAATAATTGAATTAAAAAAAATTAATTTCCTTTAATTTTCAAAATTTTATGAAACCATAAGCATTAATTAATTTAAAATTATAAAAATTATAAAACTAACTTTTATCTTTGAAAATTAATAATTTCTCTTTTAAATATACAAGGAGACTTTACAATTCCGGCTAGCCGACGGTGGCTGAATTGGGGCGGGTAACGGGTGTACACACACATGGTGGTGGTGGCCGGTGGGGGGCCGGTAATGTGGGGTCCACCTAGTGGGACCTTTGACACAATTAGAGAGAGGCATGAGCTTCACAGCTTTACAACCAGGAGTTTACCTGTCAATTCTTTTTTTTTTTTTTTTTAATTTATTTATTCAAGAAAAAATAAAAACAAATTATTATTATTTTAAATGTGAATGTTTTACATTATTAATCATCATTACGGTCTGCTTATTAGCCTCTATTATTTTTATGCTTATTTTGTAGGGCCAATTTTCTCTTTCTTTTTTTTTTCTTCTTTTTCTTTCCCTTTTCACCTTGATTCTGTAATTTAGTTGTCTGCCATTGGAGAAATTATGAGTTTTTTTTTTTTTTTTTTTTTGGAGTCTCTAATAATTAAAATATCATCCAAATATAAAATATGTACAAAATTTTAAATCTAACCGACGTTCATAATTTTAAATAATAAAATTAATGAATTCATCAATCTTAAGCTTTTTTAAAAATGCAAAAAAATATGTAATCTTCCTCAAAATAGAGAAAAATTAATAAATAAGAAAAAAAAAACTTTCCATAATACTTGTATCAATTAATTACATTAATGTTTGTATTTATTGAGGTTTTATATAATTTTGAGAATTATTTATTAAATCTTAACCACGGATCAAAATTATTTTATTTACAAAAATTTAGGGTTATCATTTAATCGGTATTAATTTGAAAGCCTCTTAATTTAATTTTCTTTTTCTCAATAATTTGTTATCATTTATAGTTACCCAAAAAATGTGGAAATGCTGATTGGGCTCAACGCCTTGACAAATGAGCCAGCCCAATAAAACAAATGACCTAAGCCCATTATCAGCTGACACCTGGCCCTTTCTCCTGCCGAGTTAATAGTTGTAGGCTGAGCCACTGGGCCTATCGACCATTAAGATAGGCCCAAAGTTACCCTTAAGCACAAGACTATGAAAGCTCAGCTCTCATGTTCTCTAAGTCGTCTCACCTTATAATGGGCTCAAGGTTAAGGTTGAAACTTGCTTACATAAGTGTATCTTGTATTGTATTGTTGTGTTTGCATTTGATGCATGTTATCTAGATCACAATACTGATCTATTATTATACGTTGTGAAGGTTACTTTTTTGCTATAAATAAACTAATAAAGTAGTTCGTCTACCTATAGTAGTCTCACAAATGTGAAGGTGACACAACAGAGAGCAACCCTCATGTTTGCCAGAGTCTATGTAGCCCCTTACCCTTCCTTGTCTAGATCAGAAGTAGTTGGGAACTTCCTCATTACACCCCGTAGTGTTGTGGGGCACCATTAAGTGCACTCACATCCTACTGAGTCTATGCATGCAATAGTGGTTCGATGGGTTTATTATAGAAATTTGTCTAACTATCAAAAACATTCTTAACTTCGCTCCAAATTTTTTCAAAATTTATCTAGAAAGTCATATAATAAAAGAAATTAGGAATGATATTTAGATCTAGTAAAAAAAACAAGGAAACGGAGGTCTAATACCCCCACCCCCTCCCCACATTAAATAACTAAATAGGAATTTACGATAATACCCCTCCGCTTCACTTTATACATTACTTAAATTTTAAATTTAGTTTGTAATTACCAACTTCTAATTGTTTTTTAATTATATATTATATGTCTTATTAAATAATCAAATATGTTTTTTCATTTAAACACGTCACCCACGAAAGAGACAATGTTTCTGATTCATTTTTTAATTACGAAATTCTTATTATTTTTGCACCAACAACAATTATCCAATCATTTAATATTTGACTTACACAATTCAATTACTTTTCACGTTGATTACCCATATATTATACCCAAACATTGCCATTGACTTTTTTTATAAAATATTTTCTCATACAATAAATACTATTGGAATTTGTCTACGCCATTCGTTCTTAAGTTATTTCACTGTAATAATAATAATAATAATAATATAACTGCACAAAAGTAGGTGTGCACAAAACTCAAAAGAAACTATTTTTATATGTATAGTAAAAAAATTAAAAAATTAAAAAAAAATCTGTCCTAATTTTCTTAAAATATTTGTAGCCCAAAATTAAAATTCAATAAAATTTTGTTAATTTAATACATGTCCATTTATTACACCTAAATTTGAGAATAAAAGTAAAAAAAAAAAAATTAATAGAATAAACATAAATATGGGTACTAAAATATAATTCCTAGTCCTTTCAAATCATGAAGTTAGAATTTTCTTTTTTGTCTTTTTTTTTATTTGGAGAGAAGACCAAAAACTTAATTATGAATTAAGTAATTATAATTTATTGTCAAATTGATAAATGTTTCACACGGTTTGTTTGAATTTTCTAAATTCCCGTTTTCTCCTTATATCTTATCTCATAACTAATAATTGAATAAGAAGTTTCATTAATCGAAACATAATTGAGTGGTCGAGTGAAAATAATTTATAGGATTTGGTCGATTTGAAATTAATAAAAAGGAGAAGGGCAATAAAGCAATATAGATATTTGGTTTATTATTTTTAAAAAATATACTTAAAAATCCGAAATACATAATTTGAATTCACAAACGAAACATAAATGGAAAATAATAAATTATTTGGCGTTTAATTGTAAACACCGGCGGCCAATTGTGATCGGAGTTCTTTTCTGAGGATTTTGCCCGACGGAGCCTTTGGGATAGCGTTGACGAAAAACACTCGTTTTAGCCTTTTGTAGAACACCACTTGTTCTGATATGAATTGCTTTACGTCCTCTTCTGTGATTTCGCCGCCGTTCGCATTCACCACAAATGCCACCGGCAATTCTCCGGCTTGCTCGTCCGGCATACTGTTCAGAACAAAAAAAAAAATGAATTAGGAAAAAAATGATTTCTTTTATTTATAAACGACAAAATTCATTATGGCTTACCCAATCACCGCTGCATCGGATAGTTTGGGATGAGCGATTAGAAGAGCCTCCAGCTCCGCCGGCGCCACCTGAAACGTCTTGAATTTTATCAGTTCTTTAAGCCGGTCGACGATGAAGAGCTCGTCGTCGTCGTCGATGAATCCAATGTCGCCGGTGTGGAGCCATCCTTCTTTGTCAATAGTCCTCTTCGTAGACTCCAAATCGTTTAAGTATCCCTTCATGATCTGATCCCCTCTGATACAAATCTCGCCGGCGGAATTCGCCGGCAACGAAACGCCGGTTTCTGGATCAATAATCTTCATCTCTGCATTTCGAACCACCGTCCCACAAGCGCCGGGTTTCACCGGAAACGGTTCTTTCGCAAACGCTAAACTCATGGTCAGAACCGGACCGGCTTCGGTCATTCCATATCCTTGCCCGAGAATCGCCGTTGGAAACTTCTCCCTCACAGCGTCTTCCAATTTTTTCCCCAACGGTGCTCCACCGGATTTCAATACCCTCACTGACGACATGTCGTATTTCTCGAATTCCGATGACTTAGCAATGGCTAAAAGAATCGGCGGCACAATCGGCACGATTGAAGCTTTATATTTCTCAACTAATTCCAAAAGCGAAACGATTTCGAATTTTTGCATTATCAAAATCGCAGCACCGGCGCGTAATCCACACAGCAAAATCGAATTGAGTGAATAGATGTGAAAAAACGGCAAAACACAGAGGATAACGTCATTGCGTTTGTAATACAGATTCGGATTTTGGCCGTCGATTTGTTGAGCAACGCTTGTGATCAACCCTTTATGAGTCAACATAACACCCTTTGGCAAACCCGTGGTGCCGGAGGAATACGGCAGCGCCACCACATCATCGGCGGTGAAATCCACAAACGGCACATGGGATTCATCCGCGCCGCTCAAAACAGAGTAATGCAAACAACCCTCAACAGCATAATCAACACACACGATTTTCACCCCATTTTCAGCCAAATCCTTAACCCGATCATAAAAGCAAGCCATGGTGACAATCAATTTCGCATTAGCAGCTTTCGCCTGTTTGGCAATTTCCACCGCCGTGTAAAACGGATTCGCCGCCGTCATGATAGCACCGCGATACGACGCTCCGAGAAACGTGAAAACAAATTCCGGCGAGTTGGGAAGTAAATTCATAACGACGTCACCCTTCTTAATCCCGAGATTGTGAAGTCCACTGGCGACACGACGGGCTGTTAACTGAACGTCGTCGTATGAGTAAACGTGGCCGGTGGCGCCGTTAATCAAACAGGGGCGGGAGCCGTAATTGGGGAGGTTTTGAAAAATATATTCATGGAGTGGAAGATGATTGGGAATGTGAATATCGGGAAGCTTTGAACGGAAAATGAATTCCTTTGTTTGGTTAATTTCAGCGGCCATTGTTGAAGGTTGAAGCTCAGAATTGAGGATATACAGAGAGCAGAGAAAAAAACAGAGGTGGGCTTGGTGTGAAGAAGGATGAAGAGAAATGCAGAGATTTTATAGAGACGAGAAAATTTTAGAAATTAGTGTTTGGTTGGTGAGAAAAATAAATCGGATTTTTTTATAAAAATTTGGTTTCGTGGTCGGATGTAATGCTTCAAGTTATGGGTCTTCTTTTCACCTACTCCCAGAGTTTATGAAGACGCCGAAGGAGGTTAATTACACTCCCTTTTATTCACCAACATATTCGAATAATATATTTAATTTTAATTTTTTTTTAATAATTCCTTAATTAATTTTTTTATATTTATTTAATCCTAAGGGGCCTAATTGTAAAATATTTAAACTCAAGCGTCTAACATTAAAACATTTTAAATAACATAGACTTCATTGGCAAGGAAAAAACGTTTATTGGTTATTTATTTTAATGGTTTCCTCCGAAAAAATTTCATATTCCTGATTATAAACCATGATCATTGTGGGACTTTCATCCAACAAATTCTACCGAGATAAAAATGAGTTAATTTGATATTAATTAATTTTTTTTTTTCAAAATTGAAAATGCAAAATTAATTCAAACTTGAATTTTAGTCTATTTTATACAAATCGAGCCATTTGAAGTTTATCGAGTGTTTCAAAGACATGAGATTAAACAGTTAAGAGAAAGATGAAGTCTATATCAAGAAACTCAATGAGCTAACATTGAAACATTATCACCCTTGCAATCCAAAACGCAAACATAGCGTCAAAATAATCCTAGCAATCAGATTTATCATACTTAATGCCAGTAGAGAAGCCGCTCACATCATCTCAATGCTAGAAAATGTGTGTGCTCAACAAAGATCACCCAAAACATCTCCTCATTGTTGTGATGTCCCACATTGGTTGGGGAGGAAAACAAAACGTTCTTTTATGAGCGAGTGAAAACCTTCTCCTAGCAAACGCGTTTTAAAGCCTCGAGGGAAGTCTGAAAGGGAAAACCCAAAGAGGACAATATCTGCTAGCAGTGGATCTGGATTGTTATAAATGGTATTAGAGCCAGACACTGGACAATGTGTCAGCCTTCTCACTGTTCCCTGAAAGGGGTAGACATGAGGCGGTGTGCTAGTAAAGACGCTAGACCTCAAAGAAGGGTGGATTTGGTGGGATCCCACATCGAATTGGAGAAAGGAACGAGTGCCAGCGAGGACACTAGGTCACTAAGGGGGTGAATTGTGATGTCTCACATTGGTTGTTGGGAGATGATAACAAAACACCTTTTATACTTGATTTTTTTTAAAGCCTCAAGGGAAAACCAATATCTACTAGCTACTAGCTGTAGACTAGATCATTACAGTTGCATACGATGCCTCGACATTGTGGAAACTTTTATGATTTTTTCCTTATTTTAATAAACAGTGTCTCGACGTTGTTGTGCATGCATATAAAAGATAACACAATTTAAGATTTTCATCCCTATACTTTAACCGATCTAAGGACTAAAAGGGTACTTTTGTAAAAGTATAAGGACGACTAAACTTAAACGAATAAATTAATATGCTACGTAATTAATGCAATTTAAAAAAAAAAAGAATAATTTTGTATATTAATAGAAACATAGTGATTTCACGGATGAGTAAAAACTTACCGAACAAACGACCATTACATCAATTTAATTAATGCGACAGTGATAAAGAAAGAAAGAAACTATGGAGAATTTGCAAAAAGGGGACGTGGCAGATTTAAGAGCAAGGTCCAATAGTTATGTCGATGGCTATTTATTGTTTTTATTTAAATATAATTAAATAAAAATATAAAAACAAGTGTTATTTGTAAAGCCACGGTCATAGCCTGACCACCGTTAGAGATAGCTAACCAAGTGGGGCCATGGCCTACAAATTACAGCTCCTCCCGTGCTAACCGGATAGCCACGATCATAGCCAGACCACCATAAAGTGCCAATTAAATTGAGCCAGTCCAACCCGTCAATTCTATTTGCACTCGATTTGATATAAAAAATAATTCTTAAATTTTGTATTTTCTCAATAATACCTGTAACTTTTAAACAAATATATAAAAAATACCGGGATTTATTTAAAAAATACTCTGTCAAAAGTTTGTTGGATTATGAAAGTCCTGCATCGACTAATTTAAGGAATGATCATGGTTTTATAAGTGAGGAATACTAATTTCATTGGTATGAGACATTTTGGGGAAGTCCAAAGCAAAGTTATGAGAGCTTATGCTCAAAGTGGACAATATCATACCAGAGAGTCGTGTTCATCTAACACACTCCAATTTTTCTTTTTAAGGTAAAAAATACCCATTAATCCTATCTTCAATAAATATTCATGAAATTTTAAAATAGTATTAACACCGTTTACCTTTCTAAAAAAATAGTTTACTAATTTTAAATGTATTTTTTTTTATAAAAGGGTTTAAAAATATTTAAAGGTATTTCAAAAGTTTTTTTAAAAGGGAGGATATTAATGAAACTTTTAAAACTTAAACGTACTTTATATACACTTTTCAAGTTTTTAAAACAAATTATTATCAGTTTTCTTCTATATATATTTGGAAATTTAAAAATATTTTTTAAGATTTTTTTTAAATTAAAAAATTTATTTTAATTTATTTTTGAAAGTTTAGCAATTATTTTTATGAAATTAGCTTAAATTAAAATTGAGCATGTATTTATTAAACAAGATTAAAATAAAAATTTTAATCAAAATAATACGAGATAGATTTACAAATTAAAAAAAAAAAAAAAAAAAAAAAAAAAAAAAAAAAAAAAAAAA